TGCTGTTTGTTTGTCCATCTGGTAGTTTTGGTCATGACAACCCCTGGCTTTTTATATATTAGGATCACAGATTCTAAAATTTATTATGTACCAGCCACTGTGGTAGCAGAATATATATTTTCTTCACCACTTCCTCATTACAAGTTTTTTATAATTATGCCCATGATGGAACTTCTGACACCAAGATTAGGGAGAATGAAAGTAACTACCCCAAGGGTTACAGGCTAATAATGGAAGAATCAAGATTTGAGATCAGGTATTTTGACTGTAACATCTACAAATTTTTTAAAAAGGAAGCAGGATAAGTATTATAGATAAAGAAACTGAGGCTGAAAGAAGGGTCTTGCCCAGGCTCAGACAGCTAAGACTGGAATCTATGTCCGTCTCTGTCAACAACAACAAAATTCCATTACACAGTCCCTTGTATCACAATTGCCATCATCTGATGTTATGAGTTTAATAATTTACAAAATGTATCATAATTAAAATGTTAAAAATCCAGGCAAAGAAAGATATAAGTACTAGTAAAGGTGAATATTTGTGAATAGAGTAAATGAAAGATATCTTTCAACCTTAAGATTTTATTTGTGGAATACAAAGTGTACTCTTTTATTTCAGGGTGAACATCATAATTATTAGTTTTTTTATAACCATAAACTTTTATTGTGAGTTCTTAACAAAAAGAAAAACTTTTAAAAACTTCTTTGACTTTAGAAAATTGGATACTTTTGAGCATAAAAAAGAAATGAAAATAGTAATATGCTATCAGAAATGTAGAAGTATTTTTTTCCTAAAATAGATTTTTTTGTTAAGTTGGCATCAAACAAAAATGTAACATTTAATCAGGAGATTAGAAAAACATTTGCAGAGAAGTTGTGGTTTTATAAATATCACAAATATTACTTGCAACCTTAATTTAATACTGCTGAATATATCTGTTTGAGCTAATGACAATCCCAAATTAGACTTCTCAGAAATAAATATATTTATACTTATGAGCATTTTCAAAACTTAAAAAAGGTCAAAGTAATACAAGTATGTTTTTATTTTTATTTTTCATCCTTGCCCCCCCTCCCCATTTTTTCTCTTCAGCCTTTTATCAGCAGGGTGGCTAATTTATTCATTATGACAGAACTAACATTTCAATTCAATGAACCAGTTGTGAATTTAGTCAATCAACCAAATAAGTGTAAGAAAATGACAAGTAAGCTAAGACAAATAAATGAAATACATGTAGGTAGAGAGAAGGCACAAAGGAAGGAATGGTGCTCTATCTGATTGACCAAACTGAAAAGTAGATAGATAAATACTTTGTCAAATAGCACATCAATTAATTAAAGTGTCTTGAAAGGCATTTTGTAATTCTCTTTTATGGGGAAAAGGTTAAATAAGATCACATGTCACATGTAACTTTGTGCAATATTATTCTTGACCAAGTCATTTCTGATACTTTAGTTTACTTCAAGTAGTCATGAAGAGGAGAGAAAATATATCTTTTAATTTCTTATTATTACTACTAGAAGCCCAGTGCACGAAATTCGTGCACAGAGGTGGGGGATGGGGTATTGATTGCTTCCCACATGTGCCCCAGCCAGGGCCAGGGATCAAGCTGCAACCAGTAGGTAGGTGCCCTTGGCTGGAATCAAACCTGGAACCCTTCGGTCTGTGGGCTGATGCTCTATCCACTGAGCCAAACTGGCTAGGGCTACAAGTATATTTTTAAAAGTCAGGTTTTACCACAAAACATAAAACAAGTATACCTTGATCTTATCCACTCCCTCAGTCCTTTACCCAAACTCTCTTTTAGCATCTTCTCTTAGCTTTAACCACCATATTTCTTAATAATACTAGAGGCCCAGTGCACAAAATTCATATACGAGGGGAGGGGGTGCCCCTCAGCCCAGCCTGCACCCTCTCCAGTCTGTGGGATCAGGCCTAAACTGGCAATCAGACATCCCTCTCACAATACAGGACTGCTGGCTCCCAACCACTCACCTGCCTGCCTGCCTGATTGCCCCAAACTGCTTCTGCCTGCCAGCCTGATCACCACCTAACCACTCCCCTGCCAGCCTGATCGACACCTAATTGCTCCCCTGCTGGCCTGATTGCCCCCAACTGCCCTCCCCTGCAGGCCCGGTCGCCCCTAACTGCCCTCCCCTGAAGTCCTAGTCACCCCTAACTTTCTCTGCCAGCAGCCTCCAGGGTATGGGAAGCCTCCCGGCAGAACTGGGATTTTGGCTGAGAGCTGCACCAGACCCCTGGCTCCCTGGCAGGGAAGCTGAGTCCTGAAGGTGAGTGCAGTGCAGAGCCATGGGGGAAGCAGGGTTGGTCAGGGCTCACAGGTCAGTGAGGGGACGGTTGGGAGTCCCAGGAAGTGGCTTCTGTACAGAGGAGAGGCAGCCAAAGAAACTGGTGACTTCTGGGGGGATGGGTCACAAGTTAGGGATTGGATGGTCACACAGACCGTTAGGGGCAGCCATAACTGTTGAGCTGGGCTCTGGTCTGGTTGTCCCTCACTAACCCCCCTGCCAGCCTTGTTGCCCCATGCAGCCTGCTGTTTGTTTGTCCATCTGGTAGTTTTGGTCATGACAACCCCTGGCTTTTTATA